GTAGAAGACACCCTCAGAGCTACTTCAGTGTGTTTGTAATTCTACATTAAGTGATGTTTTTAGTTAAAATACTGCTTTGAGCAAAAAAGTCAGGCTCAGATGGACTAATCTGAAAAAACCTCAGCCTAACATGTTTTCATGATGCTATAATAAGACTCACATAAAGAATTATATTAAAGAATAAAAATGTTAAGATATTATGATAAGAGTTGAAGCTGGAGTTGCCCCTTCATGAAATGATGTTCAGAGATCTGGAAAGCAGTGGCCTAATTATAGAACAAAAATATTGTTGTGAAAAGAGTGCATTATTGGGTCAGCTGTGTATCTCCCAATTTTCCACTTCTTCTTGACATTCCCATAACTCTGCAGATGGCTAAATGGTGATGATAATGAGAAGGAGGAGGAGGAGGAAGAAAATAACAAATTCCCAGAGTTCATCTACAACAGCCTCTAAATAGTACAATGACCATTTGCTAAAACAAAATACGAATGCGTGACATCAGGCACACTATCCGGTTGAATAAGGCAAACAACACTTAAAGCTTTTCTGAGTGTTCCTGTTAGCTGCTGTGGCTAAAACAACTCAAATGATGAGGAGCCCATCCAAATGTTTGCTGTCCACTCCATACGTTTTTCAGGGTCCAGGCCTTTAATAATCTTGCCTCCTCTAGGTTTAGTTAAGTATGGTTAACAATCTTTAAATGGACATGTATTTTAATCACTATTCTTTCAATTGGCCATGAATCAATATACGTAATCAAAATGTCATCAGGTCTATAGTTCTCCATCTTCCCGCAAGGCACCCTTGAGAGGAAGTCTCAGATGTTTCACTAAAATGTAGAAAAGCTAAACCCTTGACATTCATGAAAGACACATTCCAGACCTTTGGGTATCCTCAATTGCATGTCTAGCACAATGGCATAGAATATCTTCTGTAAAGTGTAATTTTTCACAGACTGGAGCTTTTTCTGAAAGTGTTATGGATCTCTTCTTGTTTCTGTATAAAGCTTATATTCCATCCATTCATGCCATAGATTGAAATAAGCAAGGATGTCATTATAGTCTAAATTTATACAAACTTCTATTCTTTGGTTGTATCATTTTCATAGAGGATTCTTAATTTCTCACCTACTAACATCTTCATTCCTTTCTTCACTTTCAACACCAACACCAGCTTCCATCCCCAGAAAACCATCGGCTTTCTTTTAGGATGCACTTTTTAAAAAATTTACTAAGAAAAAAATTTGCTAAGAAATATGGTCTTTTATTATTTCATAAGGGCAACTGGATATACAATGTTGAGTAAAGAACAAGAAACCTCCATTGAAATGGGGCTGCCATGGGGTTGGCAAGACCCTTTAAGTATTCTCTAAAATTTTTTTAAAAATTAATTTTTTTAGAGAGACCATAAGGCCGGGAGAAAGAGAGAGAGAGAAACATTGATTAGCTGCTTCACATATGTGACCCAACTGGGGGCCAAACCCACAATTTAGGCACAATGTGCCCTGAGAAGAATCCCTAATTAAGAATTGAACTGGCAAACTTTCTGTTTGGGGGATGATGCCCAACCCGCTGAATGACACAGGTCAGGGCCCTTTAAGCATTCTTAGTGAGGGACCTCTCCTTTGACTGGAAGGCAGTCATTAAGTTCAGTTTACTGAACCAGAGTGAGACCTTGGGGCAATGTTTTGGCTCCAGCAAGTAATTAGTTGCACATCATTAAGTAAGTCATTCACTTATTTGGAACTCAGATCTTCTCAACCCAAGAAAGGAATGAGTTGAGTTATGTGCCCTTAAAAGGTCTTTTTTGTTGTTGTTGTTCTGGTGTCCCAGTGATGTGTGTGTGTGGGGGGGTGTGTGTTCTTGAGCCCAAGGGAAAGAAAATGGTTAAATTGAGACCTCCTGAGACATCTGAGACCTCCTCTCAAGGTTGCCTTGTAGGAAGATGGAGATTGAAGAGATGTCTCAAAGCCACAATTTCCCCCTAGAATAGAACTCACTTGAAGTTTTCTAATCAATTCCCATGTATCACATTCTCCCTCATAAGTCTGCAATTGGTTTTTATGCCTGAAGGGCTTAAAGCCATCTTTTGATTTTGTCAGCTTGAGAATCAACTTATTTTAGATGTTGGATGCTGAAAGAAAAAAATCTCTAATAGCTTCATCACAAAAACATCTTTTCTTTTATTCTGACTGAGGAAATGGATTCATTTCACCAAATGAGATTAAATTTCAACATATAATAGTAAGTGTAAATGTTTATATATCTTAGCATATTAAAAGCATCTTAAGCTTACCATTAATTAGTCTTGAGAAGAACAGGTTGAACACAAGTGCAATTAATTTATTATCTTAATACCATTAGATGAACAAACAGTTTCCATGCAAAAGGCAGTTTTCATTAAACAAACTAGATAATTTTATAATGAAGGGGTTAACATGTACACCGAGTAGTGGTTCTCTGCTATTTCCATTCATGAATACTCTCCTGGACTGTAAGCCTGGAGGATGTAATCAAGATGAGGCTGGTGCTGGTGTGAGTTGCCACTATTCTAAAAATGCCCTCAATAAGTTCCTTTTCTGTTTCAGTGTTGAACTCTTTAGATGGCTATTACTTCATTTATATCTAAGTATATGAACATATATTAAAGATTAGTGGGCAAAATGCTCTAATGCTGTTTGAGCATGAGATTCCATATGTTGTTTCAAAATAATTGTGGAAATTTTGCAAGTCATAAAAAATCAATTTGAACTCACTTTGAGAAGAGAGAGGTTCAATGTCTAGCCCTACCAGTTACTGACTGTGGGGCCATAGACAGTAATTGTTGCCTTTCTGAGTCTGTTTCCTTATTTGTAAATGAGGGTGGCAATTCCAACTTTATAGGACAATTGAGTGAATCAAAAGACATTTTGTACATAAATATATGTATGAATATACTTAATCAACAAACGAGTGTTCATATAGCTGTTATATGAAGTTGAACAATTTTTCTGGGACATTTCTTCATTTTGATAATAAATAATGTGTCTGTATTACTAAGCCTAAAAAAGATTCCCTATGTTAATGGTTTTATTTGATAATAGCATTGCACTTTTACTTTCTATAAAATCACAAATACACACTGATATTTACAAAAATTGTTTCACTTACATTTAAATGAAGAGAAGATGGTACATTTCAGGATCAAAAGGAAAAAGAGGATAAATTCTGTTGACAGACACAATTGGTACACAGTCTACTCTTAAAGAATCTTCTTACTAGAAGAGTCAGGAAGGGTGTAATAAATACAAATACCATTATTGTCATATTTTTAAAAATGCAGAGAACACCAAATAGTTATTTGCTTTAAAATGCAGGGTATAATTTTGTGAAATCAGGATTGATGAACCACTTGTCTTTGGCTAAAATTAAAATGAGTTTTCATTTTCTGAGGGTACTGTGATTGGACTTGAAGGTATCTGCTGGGTGGTGATGGAAGATAAGGTTGGTTGAAACTTCACTGTTTAGTAAATAAACAAAAATAATTAAAAAACACATATACAACCAACTAAATAGCCCTTTCTCTATAGAAAAATAAAAGTTTTCCAAATGCAAATGGACCAACCACAAACCAGGTACCGTTTGTATAGTCAGTCTCTGCTTCAAAATGAATCAGGAAGAAGTTAGAAAAAACACACACAATCACCACATATATAAATATATAATACAACGGATCGTACAGCCTTGGGGTGCACAACATGCAGGGAAGGTCTTCAATACTTCTAGGACCGCAGGGTTGCTGAAAGTTTGGGGTCCATTAAGACTCTGAGGTTGAATCTTCCAGATTATAACCCAGAACCAAAATTCCTTTATTGCCCCAGTGTAGATGGGCTATACTGTAAACAGTTCGGGGTATTCTGGTCCAAACAGGAATGAAAAAGTGGGATTTTCTCCATAACAAACCACAGTGGATGGGGTTCCCCTTGTCCAGACACACCATTCAATATCACTTATCCATTCCTATTACTCACAGAGTTGAAAAACACTTTCCAAGTAGAGCTCATTTTGTAAAACAGGATTTATTCTGGGAAAGTGGTTCAGGCCTTAGCAAAACAGCCACACAGATTAGGTTCATTGCCAGTGGCAAGTTCCACCCCTTTCTCTGTCCCCTTCTCCCCCAACACTAGAGCCTTGAAATACATGACATGAAGGTATCAGGGACTAGATGTGGTCCTTGTTTCAGGATATGTCTTTACATAAAGAATGGTGAGCTTTCAAGCATCAGTGGAAAAGGCTTCTTGGTTCTTTCCTTTCAAATTACACCACTGTAGATAACTGATGGCCCGGCTATGAAAAAAATTCTTTTTTTTGGCAGCCAGAATCCTAGAAAATGTCCTAGGGAGGTAGTATGAGCTGAGTGGGAAAGCTCAATGTGATGGCATGAACTCCGTTCCCATGAGGCCATAAACCCCATACACTGACAAACTTAGTTTTACATTTTCATCATGTTTAAGTGCCTTATTTATTGCCTTAGACATTTCTGCACTTATGAGATACAGAATGAGGGAAGATGGAATGAGTCCAAATAACAATTCGTGGTCTCTATCTGACCATCTGTATATCTAGATATAGCTCAGTGATTCCAATAGCTTCTGCTATTTTATTTTGTTATCTGGATTTTTCATACACAGAGGCAATCAGTAAATGTCAGCTCTTGTTGGATGCCCTTGTCTAATTTCATTGGTGGGTTTGCACACAGATGTTCAATGTCAGCTGCTGTTACTTCTGTCTAGTCTTATTGGCATGGTTGTGTATACAGTAAGTGCTGAGCAGATATCAGCAAAGGTCAGCTGCTTTGGTTTGTGTGTGGTCTCATGTTATGACTGAGAATCACCCAGCAATTTGAGGGCTGTGAGGCATGAACACAGTTGCTCTTTCCACATGCAGCCAATGACTTGGCTATTGGTAAATTTTGCTCTGTGTACTAGCTTTTGGATTTTCAATTGTGACACACCAGAGAATTACTTCAGCCTGATACAGTCCACCTCTTCCGTGGCCGGCATGCCACTGTTTCTGAGGTCGAGTTCCGCACTGGACTTGCTTCCATGGTGGGAGGGACGCCAGTGGAGCTGCATCATCTTCTTGAAGTACTTCATGGTGTTGTTCTTGACGGTCACAAAGCACACGGTGTTGATCATGCTGTTGCTCATGGCGATGCACTCCACCACATAGAAAGCCGTGAGGTAGTGCTTCTCCTTAACGAACACCGTGGGAAAAAAGTCACGCACGATGGTGAACCCGTAGAAGGGTGCCCAGCACAGCACGTAGGCGGTGAGGATACACATGAGCACCAGAACTGTCTTCCGGCGACAGCGCAGCCGCTTCCGGATCTGCTCCGTCTGGAAACCAGGAACTTCCTTGAACCAGAGTTCCCTTGAGATCCTGGTGTAGCACAGAGTCATGGTGACCACTGGACCCACAAACTCGATGCCGAAGATGAAGAGGAAGTAGGACTTATAGTAGAGCTGCTGATCCACTGGCCAGATCTGGCCGCAGAAGATCTTCTTCTGTTTTTTGACGTTAAAGAGAACCGTTTCTGTTGCAAAGTAGGCAGATGGGATGGCGATGAGAATGGACACCACCCAGACCGAAGCGGTCAGGAAGAAGGCCTTTTGAAAATTCATCCGTGGTTTCAAGGGGTGAACGATAGCGAGATATCTGGTGGAGGAGGGAAGCCATCAATATAATATGTGCTTGAGAACACAATTAGTTTCTAACTCACCCCAAACGAACACAAAAGCAGCAAAATGTCTCAATAAGTCCTCATGTACCTATTCATCTGGCTTCAGCAAGCTTTGTTTTATTTTAGCAACGTCATTTGGCATTTGGAGGGGTGGAGTGGTTTAGAGGAAAACAGCATAGGACTGGCGTCAAACGACTGGAATAAATCTCAGCTTTTCTCCTGATTGGCTTTGGGGTTTAGCCTGAATCACTCAGTCTCTCAGATTTTTCCTCAACTGCAACATGGGATAAAAATGACACCTAACTTGCCTGGCTATTGGGAAAATAAAATATGATAATTGTAAAATGCTTGGCGTGTGGTAGGTGTTGAGTAAGTACATATAGCCTATTATTTTTGTAAGTCCAATTGATACCATCTTGGTTTGTAATCTTGCCATTTTGCCCAAGAACATAATACTTTGAAAATTTTTCATTACAAATATCTTATGCATTAGAGGTGAAAATGGAGCAGTGGAGGCCTTTTTCTAGGTAGTAGACTAAGGCTGTCTGTCCCCCTGTCCCCAACCCCTGGTATCATCCTGCATTACATAGCAGGAGAGTAGGGGTGGGCTTGGGGTGGGATCTAAGGAATTTAATAAGAAGTAAATGACTTGCCTAAGCTTACTTGGTGGAGAGAGCAAAATCCAAGTTCCTGATACAAAGCTTTTACACCCAGATCCTTGGGCTTTCTGAAGCTCAGATGAGAAGGTGGGTGAAGTCACTTTGATACCATAAAGCAAGGTTTTGCAGGGTCTGTTTACCAAATGTATGCTTGGATGTGTTTCTTGAGGTTAACACTCTCCTTCTAGGATCTCTATGACTTGAAATAACATCTCTTTAGGCCCTCTACACATGAACCTTGTCCTTTTTCTGGATGTGGCATACAGAAATAACAGTAGGTAGCCCTTCTAATATTTCTACATAGTAGGACAGGCATATTTACCAAAGGGTAAACTGAAATGCACAGGGAAACCCATGCCTCTCCCATCCTGCCTGTTTCAGGGTTTGCAGGTTTATCTACTTCTGAGTATGCAGTGGTCCCCATGCCCACAGATAAAAGCCTCATTATCCAACATCAGTGTCACAACAGAAGTATGATCATCCATCTTATTCTTTTGCTTTATTTTTAGTTGCTTTAAAGCCCAAATGAAAAAACAGGGATGCTATTTATTAGGCTCCTCTATTGTAAGGTCTGAAATTCCATGTGCTGCCTTGAAATCTTTGAACCTCACAGGGCTCTAAGTCCTAGCCATGAGTTTTCTGTTCTTTCCAGATACACCATTCCACCCTGTAGAAAAAGCTTTCTGTTCTGCTAATTTCTCTATCAGCTGAACCAGCTGCACCCCCAATCACCAACCTAATTGGTTTCAATTCTCTGCCAGTTGACAAAATGGTTCAAACAAGCCAATCACATCTTCCATGGGAACCAAGGGTCACCTCAACTTGTCACTATAAAGCCTGCTGCCCACCGCCTCTGTTGGTTCATTCTATTCTTGAGTGCATGGTGTGCAGTGTCCTCCCTCCCTGGGCTGTGATATGTGGGACAAATTAACCACTGTTGCTCTCATATGTCCAGGGTCAAGTATTGTGTGTTCAACCATCTTGTATCATTGAGAGTGCAAGAATCCTGCCTTCATTAATGGGGTAAGTAGGAGGTGGTCAGGATAGCACATCTGGATATCAACGTCTTCATGAAGCATTCCCAGGCTATCACTAATGTAATGATCACATGTTCCTTTAAGTTACTCTTGCCTATCACTTGGTTTTTCTAGTCTTTGTGGGAAGAAAATACCCTGAGGTCAAGGACTATGTCTTCTACTACTTTATGTTTTTATTATATGGGTTTGGCACATACAGCAGGACCTGCAATCTGTTGTGGATTTATCAGGTTATAGCAGACGCTGTTGGTGACCTCTCATATTGCTTCTCTCTTCACTTCCATGCACAACTGTCTACTTTCACCTGCGCTTCATTGTCTAAAGGCTTTCTCTGGCTTCCAGTCTTCTTGGCTACCTGCATGAAATTTTCAGAGCAGCCATCACCAATAACTTGAGAGTTGGTGGATAAGTACCCCAGCTCCCTTTCTTCTTGGAGAATTTTGAGGTGATGTACTCTGACTCCAAGAGTTGCTTAGCTGAAATAAGCATCAGGTGCCCACAGTGAAACTTGTTCAACAACACAGCCTATGTGGACTGCCTTTCCTTGCTTGCCTCATTTTTCGTCTCCCTATAGGTGCTTCCTGGGTGCTACCTGCACAGGAATCCTTGTCTCAGAGTCTATTTAGGGAGTACACTAAACTAAGACACAGGTATGAGGTTCTGTGCTGAACACTGTAGAGACATAAAGAGAGAAGACATGGTTATTCACTTAAAATACAATGTTCTTTGGAAAAGACTTACAGATATGTTTCTTCATACACAGTACACCATTGCAAAGACAAGCTGGTGACAGATTATAAAGGCTCTGGAATGTTAGATGGGATTTAGTATGTATTCTGTTAGGCACTGCAACTTTTGGAAGTTTGTAAGCAATAATATATTTTAAGAAGAATCATCAATAATGATATTCTGATGCTTAATATGGATAAGCAGGAATTTCAGGGGATAGTCAGGAGGGGAGTAAAGAGATGTGTTAGAGGAACATTATGATGGTCCAGCTGTGGCTTGCTAAGAGATGAGGTTGGAGGGACAGTGGCCAGGATTTGGTGTAGGGCTGCACACAAAGGGTAGGTGGTTGGGTGAGTGTGGGACACGAAGTAAGGCAAAGAATAATGATACTTTTTCCTGCCCAGGTGACTGGGAGAATGGTGGAGCTACTGACTGGGCAGAGATGGTTTGAGGTAAACACAAAATGAAACAGAAAAAAACCCCAAACCAACAAACACTCTTTGTGTTGTAACAGGATGGTCTTAAGCAAATCCTGTTATGAACTTCCAGCCAATATGGAGCATAGGTAGACACACTGTGCTTCCTTGCACAACCAAAATGACAACAACAATTTAAAAACAAACAAAAAACCATCCAGAATTGACAGAAAATCAAGCTGTATAGAAGTCCAACAACCAAGAAGTTAAAGAAGACACATTCATCCAGACCTGTAGGAGGGGCAGAGATGGGCAGCCGGGCTGAGAGGACTCGAGGCAAGGTGGTGTCTGGTGGACCCAGTGAGGTAGTGGATTGTGGAGTGGAGTGAGTGAGGCTGCAGTTGGTGGGCAAGGCAGCAGTGGGCAGACCTGGTGAGGTGAGATATTGTGGACTGGGTGGTCCCACATTTGCACACAGAGAAAAAGTGAGAAACAACTGGGGAGGGGGATGAACTGTGCAACCCGGGGCCCCAGTGTGAGGAAATAGAGCCTCAAACCAACAATTCAAAACACCTGTGGGAGTTGGGGTACTGGGAGAAACTCACAGCCTCACAGGAGAGTTCATTGGAGAGACCCATAGGGTCCTAGAACATACATAAACCCACCCACACAAGAATCAGCACCAGAAGGGCCCAAATTGCTTGTGGGAAGCAGAGAAAGTGACTGAAATCTGGCAGAGAGTGGAGCAAGTTCCATTGTTCCCTCCCGGATCCCTCCCCCACATGTAGCATCACAACACAGTGACCTGGGTTACCCTGCCCTGGTGAACGCCTAAGGCTCTGCCCCTCACTATGTAACAGGTGCATCAAGACAAGAGAAAATGGCCCAAATGAAAGAACAGATCAAGGCTCCAAAAAAAATACAACTAAGTGATGAAGAGATAGCCAGCCTACCAGATGCATGGTTCAAAACACTGGTGATCAGGATACTCACAGAATTGGTTGAATTTGGTCACAAAATAGATGAAAAAATGAAGGCTACGCTAAGTGAAATAAAGGAAAATGCACAGGGAACCAATATTGATGGGAAGAAAACTGGGACTCAGATCAATGGAGTGGACCAAAAGGAAGAAAGAAACAACCAAATAGAAAATAATGAAGAAACAAGAATTCAAAAAAAAAAAAATGAAGAGAGGCTTAAGAACCTCCAGGACATATTTAAACGCTCCAACATCCGAATTATAGGGCTACCAGAAGGGGGAAAGGAATAGCCACCAGTGGAAAACTTATTTGAACAAATAATAAAGGAGAACTTCCCCATTCTGGCAAAGGCAATAGACTTCCAGGAAATCCAGGAAGCTCAGAGAGTCCCAAAGAAGTTGGACCCAAGAAGGAACACACCAAAGCACATCATAATTACATTACTGAAGATAAAAATGAAGGAGAGAATCCTAGAAGCTACAACAGAAAAGTAGACAGTTACCTACAAAGGAGTTCCCATAAGGCTATCTTGCCTATAAGATTTCTCAAAAAAAAAAACTTATAGGCAAGAAGGGGCTGGGAAGAAGTATCCCAAGTCATGAAAGGCAAGGACCTACATCCAAGATGGCTCTATCCAGCAAAGCTTTCATTTAGAATGGAAGGACAGATAAAGTGCTTCTAAGATAAGGTGAAGTTCAAGGAGTTCATCATCACCAAGCTTTTATTATATAAAATGTTGAAGGGATTTATCTAAGAAAAAGAAGATAAAACATATGAACAGTAAAATGACAGCAAACTCACAATCATTAACAACCATACCTAAAACAAAAACAAAAGCAAACTAAGCAAACAACTAGAACAGAAACAGAACCACAGAAATGGAGATCACATGGAGGGTTAGCAACAGGGAAATGGGAGGGGGAGAGAGGAAGGATAAGGTACAGAGAATAAGTAGCATAGATGGTAGGTAGAAAATAGATGGGGAGGGTAAGAATAGTATAGGAAATGTAGAAGCCAAAGAACTTATATGTATGACCCATGGACATGAACTAAAACGGGGGGGAATGTGGGTGGGAAGGGGTGTGTAGGGTGGAGGGGAGTGAAGGGGGGAAAATGGGACAAATGTAATAGCATTATCAATAAAATATATGTAAAAAACAAAAAATTCTGTTACATAAAATATTATATTACAAAGACAAAAAATATTTCAATGGGACAAAGGGAATGAGGACAGTAATAACTGTCATTTCAATGAACATCAGAATCATTCAGGGAGTTGGATACAACTGCAGATTCATGAAGCCTAACCCAGGAATTCCCATTCAGCAGGGCTGGGTGAGGCCCAGGAATCTGACTGTGTATCACCATATTAAATGATAGCCTGGGGAGTTTTGCAGTTCATTGATGGTACATTTCATAAACATTGGTGTCAGGGCTGGAGAACTTCAGAGTTGCAATAATGAAATTGTTTTTCCTGCAGGAATTTTGTTTAAAAAAAGGAAGATGTCTCTTATGTATGTGTATGTTATAAAAAATAAACAATAATCAACTGCTTTGATTAAAAGAACAACAAACCTAAATAGTGCTGAGAACCAGGAGAAGAGAAAAGGGTTGAAAGGAGACAAAAGGGAAAAAAGATGATTAAAAAACACATTATCAAAATGAATCTCAGCATAGCTCACAATGGTGGACCAAGAGGATGTGACACCAATTGCTCTCCTCAAACAAAAGCATTGCTGGCCTACAACTGTTCACATAAATAAGACATGTGTCAGATTCATCATAAGATGCTATTAGAATTTTTACTTTATAAATCTATAATGGAGCAAGGACTTTTAGAACATCTTATTCAAAAGTATGCAAATGAGCATATGGAAGCTTACAAAAAAGCAAAGGAAGCTTATCCTTCCTTCTTTTCTGCAAATGAGACCTGCTGGCTGATTTTAAACTCAGTTGTGCAACAAAGGCATCAGAAACAAGCGTATGTCTTGTATGATTCCGTTTTTATAAAGTTAAGGAACAAGCAAAACTTGCCCCGACAGGTGTGACTCAATGGATGGAGTGCCGGCCTGTGAACCAAGGGCTGCAGTTTCAATTCCCAGTCAGGGCACATGCCTGGGTTGCAGGCCAGCTCCCTGGGTAGGAAGTGCGTGAGAGGAAACCACACGATGATGTTTCCCTTTTTTCCTCCCTTCCCCTCTCTCTAAAAATAAATAAATAAAATCTTTAAAAAGAGAACAGGCAAAACTAACCTATGATGATAGAAATTGGATCAGGGTTGTGTATGATGGGAGTATTGTAAGAGGCATCAGGAGGTTGAGTGATGAAAATATTTTATATTTTGGTCTGGGTAGTAGTTATAGAAAAACCGGGTACATGCTGTCTTGACTGGAAGCTGCCCTGGTTAACTCTCGTGTGGCTTCTAAGTAGTAAGCTACCTAAACTTTCTGCTTTTGCTTTTGTATTTGATGCCACTCATGGTCATGTGACATGTAGCTGAAGCAGATGCGGTATCTGGGGTCATGGCCCAGAGCTGGAGGGCTCAGGAGCCTCACACTTGCTCACATTTGGGAGAATATGAGCCATGACTGGATCTTCTTGCCCTGTAATAGATCATTCACATCTGAAGCAATGTCAACAGTCAGAGCTGAAGTGAGAAAAGGGGTAGCCTTGCCCAGCCTCCAGCTTTATCCCTACCCAACAGCCTCACCTGTCGATAGCAATGGCCAGCAGAGCATTGGTGGAGACATAGAGTGACATAGTACGCAGGTAGTTGACAGAGGCACAGAGCACGTGGCCATGCTCCCAGGAGAGCTGGCGTACCACATAGTAGTCCATCTCGAAGGGGCAGCAGACAATGGCCACCAGGAAGTCAGAGATGGCCAGGTTAGCGATGAGCAGATTGGTGAGGTTGCGCAGCTTCTTATAGCGGGCGAGAGCAACAATAAAGACAAAGTTGCCAATGCCACAAACCAGCATGATGCCTGCCAGTGCCACACCGATGATGATCTTGGCTGCAAAGAAGGTCTGTGTCTTAGTCATATCCTCATCCTCATCCAGAGGGAAGTCGTAATCACCGTAACTGAAGTTGAAGGGGAGGGAGGAGGCATGGTCTTGGGGTGGATTGAAGTTGGGTGGAAAACTAGTGTTTCCATTCTGGGTGGCCATGGCCAAGCTTGCAGGTGGGGTGGTGGGTGGAAGTCTTCAGAGTCTGAGTACTGTGAGTTCGGTGTCCAGACCTTCTGCTCTCATGAGGTCAGTGAGCCTAGCACCCTGCCCACATCCTTGCGGAGAGTCAACATGCCATCCGGGATCCTGGAAGGATACAAAACCAGTAGACAACATGCAGGAGAACACCTGGTAGCATTCCCACAGAGTTCCCCAGGTATAGGCCAACTAGACCTGGTGTCTACCCAGACAAAACTAACCAGGGTGAGGGGAGAGGAGACATGAGATCTAGAAATTGGGAAATTTTCCACTGGCTGCTGGACTTTCAGGAGGGACTGGGCTCTTCAGAGACACTCAAGAAGAAGGTGCATCATTGCCTTTTTACCGGGGCAAGGACCCCTCTGACTGCCTAGTCACCACCACCCTCCTTCCCAGCAGCCTTCACAGGGGTCTTCTGCAAGGTTTCAAGGCTGCTCCAGGCAGCTAGCCAGGCATTCATGGCAGTCATAATGTTGCCCCTCCATTACTCAGGGACCTTGAAGATGGAGGACTGGGATACAGCAAGGTCTTTCCTCCAAGACCTTGGCCGAACCACGGACTTGGAAATCACCAAATCCATCTTCACATGGACAAGCTGAATCATCTTGGCAGAGTGAATTATGTTCTCTGCATCCCAATTTTCCTGTAAACCAAACTCCTGCTGTCCAGCCCATGGCCTGGCACATAGTGGGGACGGGATAGGAATCAGTTGAATGAGCGAAAGAGGATCCCAACCAGGATTCTGCAGGTGGAGGGGGCTGTGGGTGGAAGGGCACTCTTCGGCTGCTACCCCCTATTCTGGGAACTGCTTTAGAAATCCTTTGTCTGCTTCCCCTCCCTCCCTCCCCTGACCCCTTTACCAGGCCCCCAGTTCCCTTTCCAAAACCAGCCCTGACTGGGAAGCACCAAGGCCTGTCATCAAGGTCCATGCCTCTGACAGCAGCCTAATTGAAAACAGCCCCCAGGGAGCAGGAAGTGTCATCAAGGACCCAGGAGGGCCTGTAGACTGAACTGTTCTTCATTACCTAAGTCCTTTATATCTTCAGGATGCCCCCAGGAGAGGAAATAAAGTCTGTGAGGTCCTGAGCCCTCAGGAGATAGGGTACCATTGGGTTCTAAGCATTGGAGGGGCCAGGAAAATAACCTGGACCCCCAACACCAGGAATAGGGATACCAGCTGTGAACCCCCTGCTGGTAAAAAAAAAAAAAAGTAGCCCAAGCTGGGCACGAGGTATGGCCCGGCCCTGTGAGAGGAGGGGGAGAGCCAGGGACAGGAACTGCCCGGGAAGGTTGGGACAGAGGATGACGGGGACACTCCAATCTGCAGCACGCCCTCCAGCTGCACGCGAGAAGTAAAACATTCCAAGAGGTGAGGTTCAAGTGTGAGCAGCCTTCGCAACCCTCCCTGTCGCCTCTCAGAGTCACAGGAGGCCCAATGCTTGAAGACAGTGCTCAGCCCCAGACGGAGAAGCAGGAGTCCCGCCTTCTTGGCTACCACGCTCCGCGACTCTCCAGTCCCAGGACCCCAGAGGAGGAGGCGTGCATTGCATTTGGGCCGGGCAGATTCCGGCCCGTTGCCACAGGATGCACTCCCTGCCCTGGACCAACGCACTCCAGGAGCCCTCTCCTATGCTGCCTCGATTAACCTCCCTGCGGCCGAGCCGTTCCCAGAGGCACCGCCCTGACATAACGAGAACCAGGTCAGAAAATTGGGCTCGAAAAGCAAAGTGTGCGGAGCCTCAGAGCAGGAAAAGCCCTGGAGTGGGGGGTAGATACGAAGAGCGGGAATTTTCCCAGGAACTCTTCCCCTTTTCTGCTCTCCTTTCAAGAAGGTGCATCCCTGCCCACGCCCTTCCCTGCAGTTTGGCGCTCACCGGCCAGCCCAACACCCGAGGGCATCCTTCACCGGCGCTCACACTCCCCAGTCTCAGTTTACCATCCTCTGCCGGGTTTCAGTAGGTCGGTGGGTTGGGGCACTCTTCCCGCACTAGCTCCTCTATTTCGAGCCTTCACGCGCGCATCCGGAGAAAGGTGGGAGGCAAAGCACCACCAATCCCCCCAAGAAGTGGACATAGGCGCCCGCAGCCCGGGCGATGCCCCCAACACCATCAGTGGAACCTTGGACCGCGCCGACCTCAGCGTTTACCTGCCTCGGCGCCTCCTCCCCACCTGCAGTGTGCTCCGTGCTCGATCCGCTCGGTCCGCGACTTCGTCCGCTGGGTTCTGCCCTGGGGTCCCGGATTTGCACTGGCAAAGGCTCTATGTCAGGGGTGTCCCCCTTTCTTCCTGGCCCCGACGCACTCCCCGAGAGCGTCCGGGTCTCTGTCTTCCAGATGGACTTGGCGCTCGGCCTTCAAAGCTCTGAGAGTCTGGTACCCAAACTGATGCGTCCCGCCCCGTGCTCAACTCCGCCCCGGGTTCCCCGCCCTCTCCTAGCCCAGGCGGAAGAAGGGCGTTAGGCGCTTGCACCTGGTGCGCTCCCGGAGCCAGGCGCTGGACCTCTGGGGGGGTTGGCGCGGATTTCCAGTCCCTGGGGTCGGCCCCTCGCAAAGGTCTCTGCGCCTTTGCGCCCTAATGCCAGGGGGAACGCAGTAGCCAGGTTTAGCTGGTGGGATTTGGAGAACGCTGTAAGGCTCTCCACGCCCCACTGTGGCGCCCCACGGGGAGTGCGGCGGGTGCCGGAGCTCAGCGTCCAGTCTTAAGCCGCAGCCCAGGGCCAGAGTCCACTCCCGTTACGAGGTGAATCCTTCAAGACGAGCCGCTGGTGCTGGGGATGCTCCAACGTACACAGAGTGAGCTTTGTAGGGTGGCGGTGGAGGAGGAGGCTCTGTCAGAGGAAGCTGGGGGTTGGAGGTCGAGTATCCTGCTCAACGCTTTGGCCCTGAAGTCCTCATCAAAACCCTGCGACGCCGCCACTGACACACTCCTTGGCCATTCAAAGACCTTCCCGGCTGGGCTCCCGCCTGTGGGGAAACTCCGGAGCCCTTCACTTTGCTTCCAACAGGCTTTGGTTTTAGGCAATTTTCTTAAACCTCTCTGGTCCTAGATTTCCTTACACATTGAGGGTGAGGATTAAAATCTATAAAGAGGTGCTAATTCTAATGACTGGTAGCTGGAAAGAGCAGAGGGAAGCTCTAGGTTTTCAGAATTGGAACTGCGTGCGAGCAGTGGCAGGAGACTGAGGTCCCCAGTGTTAAATCCCAGTCAATTACTGTCTGCTTGGAATATGGACTCAGCTTTGTCAGATCTTCCCATTGTACCACAGAGTCTGGAATCTCAGAACTTAATACTCTGTTGGCTTAGTTAAAACAAAACAACGAAGCCCATGCTGGCCAAAGACAGCATACCCTCAGAATGAATCCAGTCTACTGGGACACAACCTTACAATTCCTGAAATCCTTGGGGTGGGGAAATCCTGTGATTTTTGCCGTTCTCACTTATGTGAAATGAACCCCACCATCCTTTTCCCTTAAAATTTTTTTTCAGCTTTATTGAGGTATAATTGACATATAACTTTGTGTAAATTTAAGGTATACTACTTGATGGTTTGATACACATACACATTGTGAAATGATTACTACAATAAGGTTAGCCACCACATCCATCATCAAGCGTAGCTATGATTTTTTTTGTGCATGGTGAGAGCTTTTAAGATCTGATCACTTAGCAACTTTCAAGTAGACAACACCATGTTGTGAACTGTATAGTCATGATGCTGTATATTAACTAGGTCCCAGATCTTACTCGTATTGCTAGTAAGGGACGATTGCGCCCTTTGACCTACACCTCTCCATTCTCTTCACACTGCCTGCCCCCACCTCCTGGCAACCACCATTCTACTCTGTCATTCTATGAGTTTGGCTTTTTTGAAGATCCCACATATAAGTAAGATCATACACGTGGTGGACTCCGGCCAGCAGAGTCCACCTGTTGTGGCTGATGATGAGAACAAATGCACAGGCAACAACAATCCTGTGGAATAAAAGGGAACAGCAAGTCTACTCTCTCAAGGGGAGAGCACCTATGGGTGCCTCTGCCACTCCCTCAAGAGGGGAGTGCCTCAACCCTTGCCTAGACAGGCTTTTGTTGTTTTCCTCAGTTCTTACATAAGAGAAAGATTTGTTATCTATTACATAAAATATTATTGTCTACGTTTTAGGTACAATCAAGGAAATGAAAATATCATGCAGAGGGGAATGGCGGTGAGCTGATTAGCTCTGTCCTTGGGAGAACTCATACAGGCTTTGGAAATTACCTTGAAGAGAGACAGTACTTATTTATTGTTTTAGACCAGGGTGATGGAGTTTTAGCAAGAGCAAGCCATAACAGTCTGTGTGCATTTTCTAAGCCTGATTTCTAAGAGAAAACTCAGTTTGAAGGCCTAGCTCCTGCCCACCACTTTGCTTCTGTAGGTTTTCCATACAGAGCTGAGTCACATTTGCCAGGCCAAGACGAACCAGTCCCCTACACATACAGTATTTGTCTTATTCTGTTTGACTTATTTCACTCACCAAAATGCCCTCGAGTTCTGTCTATTTTGTCCCAAATGCAGGATATCCTTTTTTATGGTTGAACAATATTTCATTATGTGTGTGTATGACATTTTATGGCTGGAATCACACACACACACACACACACACAGACACACCATTGCATACTATCTGCACTTAGGTTGTCTCCATGTCTTGGCTATTGTGAATAATGTTACAGTAAACATGCAATACGGACATTTCTTTTAGGTAATGAGTTCATTTCCTTTGGACACATACACAGAAGTGGAATGGCTGCTTCATATGGTATTTCTATTTTTAGTTTTTCGGGGAACCTCCATACTGTTTCCATAATGGACGCACCGATTTGCAGTCCCATGCAATAGGATTCTCTTTTCTCCACATCCTCACCAACACTTATTTTTGCTTGTTTTTTTGATAACAGACATTCTAACAGGTGTGAGGTGATAT